TACATCTCACCCTCGTTAATAGTCAAATACAAATTATAATATTTAATGTTCGTTACTACGTATACAAACAGTATTTTGAATTTCTAAATGTCAGAATTTGAGCTTTTAGCTCAAGTTTATTTTACAAAGTAATAATATTTCTAAAATCACTTAACAATAATAAAACAATGGAATGAAATAAATTGAGAATGAATTTAAAATGAAATACAATATGAATGTAAAACGAAATACGCTCACTAGTAGTGACAAGTAAAAAGTGCTTGAAAAATTCGTCAGTCATGAAAAAAGGTCCTGTTTAGCTAAGCAATTAGAGCCTTCGCCCGGATTGCGAAAGGTCTTTGGTTCAAGTCCCGTCTCACAGTAACAGGAGCGGGTGGATTTTTTAAGCATGTTTCATAGAGAAAAACGACTGATATTCTAAAACAATTAAATTACCACGAAAATAAAAATACCTCAAATATGGGTCTCAAAAATATATTAGATTCGAAATTCAAAATAACACCGAGAACCATTATTTCAATTCTTAATCAAATCATCAATGAATCTACTTGCTTGATGACAAAGGTCGCAACCACATAGACCTCTCTAAGTACTATGCAGCACGGCGCGGCACAGTAATAAGAAGAAAATCTCGTTATTTTAACGTTCTCAAATACATTCTCAGCGCGAGTGGGTCAGTCAAGAATAAATTTGTTCCATTGCTACTTTATCCAACTTAATAAGGGACTATATAAGCAGAAAGGGTGTTATTATATTTCAACAGAACAGTAGTCATACTTATTGTAGGTCAGAATCTACTTTTTCAGAGGAGAGCAGTTGAGCGGGAATACGAGCGATCGGTGGAAAAGGTCGCAAGACCCCCCTCTTGAATCCTGAAGTGGGGTTGGATCCGGCGGATTCCTTGCTGGATCCCCGATCCTCCGCCCCATACAGAGGAAAGGGAAAAAAAAGGTCAGTACCTACTATCCCATCGTAGTATTTGGTAGGTTTGTAGATTGAGCTTTATGTAATCATTAAAGAATCAAAGATGCCAAATTTTGGGATTTAGGGCTGAAGGCTATGAAACGGAGTTACAACATTAATCATTAATCTTTAAAGCTATAATCACGTGCACACTTTAATAAAAAGTACTGGGATTGTCTTAATGGAGATGGTTGGTAGCGCTACAATATAACTTTGACAGTTAACATTTCGGAATAAGAAAGGTCTCAAGAGTATTTTTCAAGTTCTATTTATGTAATTGTGTAACTGGTAACAAAAGTTGTATGATATAAAAATTAAAGTGGCCAATAAATATTAAATATAATGAATGCTATTTATTACAAGGCAGTATGTCGCTTATCTGCGGTTTATACGTGATTGATTTGACAGCGCCAATGGACTGCTATGCTACCGCTACTTATTACGTTTATAAGCTTAATAATTATATGTAAGAAATATAAGCTTCTGTCCATCCCTATCCTTGAAGCTATGTCTATAACAAAACATAAAACTTACTACACTGGGATAAGTTCAATATATCTCTGGACTATCACATACAATAATTTATCCCGTTTCTAAGGTCAATAAGAAATTATATACAGACGACGGAGAGAGTTACAAAGAAGTCAAACAAAAGATGGCATTCCAAATTGAAATACAAGAGAGAAAGAAAAAAAACCACTGGCTATCCCATGTTCAGCTGTACCTTAAAACAGTGTCCGGTGAAATCGACAATCCGTTGAGCGTTGCAAGTGGCACGGTCGTGCAGAAAATAAATCACTAAGAGTTGTTCTAATATTAACACGTGTTAACACTTTAATAAAAATTTGTTAAGAGACGTCTTGTTTATAAGATTCTTAATAACTTTACCTTTGGCAGTACTAAGACAAAGATGTGTTTACAGTGGTACTGCAGTCTTAATCTACTTCTTGCTGATAATGGTATAAACAGAGGAAGTTTAGATCAAATAATACTTTTTTTTTAAAATGTATTATCATGTATTCATAATTTCAGCAGCTTAGCCAGAGTCGATGTGGTTTCTAATACACAGTTATATATTTATCAAGAGTTAAAGTTTCTAACTTTATTTCTTTTTCAGGGGGTAAGCTACATCATGCGTAGGTACGCAGGAGAAGTTGCGGGAAACAGCTAGTGTTTCTATAACTATAAGCACAGCTATAAACAGCGTATTTATAACTAGTACTGTATTTTTAAAATTCAACATTGCGTCTCTTCGTATATTTCAGCACTTTGGTCAAAGTTGATGTTGCTTTGGTGACACCCAGTGATTTATTGTGAATGTTAATATAACTCGTACGAATTGAAATGACAAATGAGCGTCTTCTTTTCTTCGTCGTACTCAAACGAAATTTCAGAATTTTTCACATCAAATTAAAATTATATGCGTAAAGATTGTCTGAACATCAGAGGCAGTGTCAGGCCCTACCTGCGTTGCAGCATAAATTATCGTAATATGTATTCTTTGGGGTCGTATTAGCATTTCAAAAACAGACGAAATTTCATTTTAGTCGTAATAGAAAAGGCGTTCAGATGTCATGGTAATTCGTACTAATAGAAATATCAAAGTTATAACTAGCACTGCAAAGGTACTACAGTAACAGTAGGTAAGAGAACCAGTAGGTAAGCAAATCACCTACGCGATTGAATGACTCGCACGTAAATGTCATGGATGGTGTCAGTAAAACTTTCCCCCGGATTTACATAAGACAATTTACTACACGGAGCTTAAAATCAGTATATTAAATCTGTATGGTTTTCTGTAATTTAATATATTCACTTACTTTTAAATTATATTTGAAGAAGAAGAAAACTTATATTTGAGATAAGCTTGAATTTTGTACAAAGTTCCCAAAATCATAATTTATGTTTTATACTACTACTGTCTATACTTACATTATAGAGAGGAAAGATATGATTGTTTGTTTGCATCTAATAGGCTGCGAAACTATTGGATCGATTTAAAAATTCTTTAATTTACTGGAAGCTACATCACACGAAGTTAACATAGATTATAATTTATGCGAAGGAAGGCGCGGGAAAACACTTACAGTGCTATTGATATACAAGGTTTAGCGTCAGGGTAAATTTACTCTAAAATTGCGATTTTAGTATTAGTTCAAATTCATATTATACAGAGAATAACGAAATCTAATACCTTCTAGGAGTAAATATTACTCCCGTAGAATCTCGCACTAGGTTAACTTTTGCTAAGTCTCTGTTTAACAATATGAATTTTGACTAATACTAAGTGTAGTCTGAGCGTAAATTTACTCCAACGCTAAATCCTGTTTATTTATAACACTGCTCACTAGCAGTTATTATTTATTTTCTTTATTGTACACTTACAATAAAGAAAATAATAAACATAATAGTAGTTTTTCAATTAAGACAAATCTAAAAAGTGAAATTAATTTTTAAGATAAGAATATTACATTATTTTTAATAAGCTTTATTCTTTGCATTATAAAATCAGATTTACAGCGCAATGTTAGCGAGTGTAAAAGCTAGAAGTTTAGCTAGCTAGAATCTATTAAAATATCTTTGCAACTGTTGTTAATCTACGCGAAGTCACAGTGATTATTTATTACTTCATGTGAAAGATTTGTTTGTGATAGAAGTGACTGATTTTATTAAAACAATCTTTTTATTTTCAGTCAAATGGTTGACCATTTGTTTTCAATATAAAAAGTACCTTTTTTTCAAATTAATTAAAAACAAATACCGATAATAGCTTACAGCAAAGGTTTAAGAATAAACATTAGATAGTAAAAGTAGCTTAATTCATACGTTAGAAATTTTATTCATTACACATGGAGTCGTAAACAAATGATTCGCAATTAAATCAAGTGCGATAGTATAAAGCTGTTTCATTTTTATGCTGAAGATAAATAACAGAAAATTTAATTAAACATACACTGTACTATATCGATGTCAAACGAAATTGGATGTATTTAATCCGTTAATTAAAACTTTAACGCAGATACTGATTGACTTTTGGTGAAAGTGCGGTATGGTTTCATTTGGTCACACGCAATTTACATTGTGCGCTTCAACTTGATCACACATTCTCAGTTTAGTTATAACCTTCTTTTGATAAAAAAAGTTTTTATTCGGACAAACTTTTTTTTTCTTTTATTAAGTGCGTAATCATGTTCGAAGACGAGGTGGAATTGGAATTTTGTAAATATTCTGACGTCGGTTAATGGAGCGGATCGAATGGGTCAACTTGAAAAGCAAACAGACGCCTTTGCTTTGGTACACTGGCTTACTTGTACTTTTGTATATTCCGAGATTTAATATAAGCTATGCTCTGTGGATACAATCGTTTCTGCAATGAAAAGGTTTGCCCAGATGAATCATTGAATTTGATCGAGTGCAATTCTACTCATAGTTTATTTCATGATTTACTAATAAAGATGTATATAAGCAATATTAATGGTATATTGTATGAAGTCTGGTTACCACTACAAATTAGAAAAGTAGGCTGGAACTGGAAATATTCAAGAGAAAACGAAAGTGCGATTTAGTTAACATATGAATTTATTAGTTGGCTGTTTATTAGTTGACAAGATTAGTCAATTGAAATATATAATGCTTAATTTACAAAATCATCTCAAAAACACATTATTGAAATATAGTCTACGAAACTAAGTTAACTTATTTCTTTATCAGAGTTATATTTGTTTCTCATATGTCTCTTTCGTTACTGTTATTATCAACAGCATTAACATAATAGACTTGCAATGCATTTTTATGCCACAAAACCGGAGGCTCATCCAAAGCTGGGTGTGAAACTGTTATCAATAGAACATTACACGGTCTGCGGTCGACACTTCAAAATTCAGGGGACAAACGTGCGCACGGGAAGGCGTACGATTACGAACGCCTTGATCGAATAGCGGTACGCAGATAACCACAGGGCGAGTATCAAACGGAAAAATTGCATGGAAATTCAAACGCACTTACTTACGTGGTGAGGTAACGGGACCCTAGATTACCTATACACTGCCAGGTTTGAACGACAACTGACTAGGAAGTAATTAATTTATTCACTTGCAAATTATCAATATTACGAACATGTCTGCTCGTACCTTTCATTAATTATTTCCGTATGATAATCGTTAAAACAAACAGGGATATTAACTTAGTTACAGAGATACTTAAATAGGGATTAGTCTTAATAAGCCTTCCTATTAACCAATAAAATTGCTTGCTTGTTACTATATTATCGTTTCATTAGTTATAATAATCATGAAGATGCTGTAATCATACTTATTTTTTTTAAATAGTAGGTTAATTTTACAGTTTCCTGCGTTTATAGTTGTAAACATACATGAAGGCGGGAATTGCAGTCGGCGGCGGTTGCATCCGCACTCTTAGGGTGGCTGAAGTGGGTGAGTGTCGATCGGAGTGGTGCGTGGTGCGCTGGCGCAGTCCCACTCGCATCGCCGCCGCGGCCGCACGCTCGCGATGTACCGCCCGTTGGTCACGCTCCTCGCGCTCGTTGCGCTTACCACATTTACATCCGCAGAGTCACCGAGGCCTCGCCTCATCGACTTCAACCCCTTCGCATGGCTGCCATCAAACCGCAACAGATCACCCTCAATTATGGACTATTTTTTCCCACCTTCCCGCACACCCAAACAATCTAGTTTAGACCCACCCGCCGATAGAAAACCTCCCCCGACCACCATAACAGATACAACTCTAGATAACACCCCAGCCCCCACCACCATCGAGGAACGGTCCACTACTTACTCCCGAAAAGTTTCCACTAAAACGAAATCCACGGTTTCCGCGACCGCGACTATACCACCTAAAACAAAGAAGACACGTAAGCCGACAACTGTCGAAACGACATACGAAACTAAGACTACGCAGAAAATAGAATCTACACCAACCTTTAAAGTCACGACCGTTCCGACAAGTAATCGTCCTACGAAACATTATACTATAAGGCCGGTTGTACGGACTACGGAAACGCCTACGGTGCAAGACACAGACACGACTAATAGCGACAGTACGGAAACAGTATCGGAGATCGATACTATGGGAACCACAATCGAGGATGCTAAAGAAACAGTGCCAACTTTTAGTACTTCTGATGAGACGAAATCCACGGACGCTGGGACAGCCAGCACTGCCACCATCGAATCTACCACACCAACGGATTCAACAGCAGAGCCGGCCGATAGCCGCGAAGGATACCTTCCCCTACGCGACAAACCTCCGCAAACTCATGTCAAAATCAACGATCAAACAAAGAAAGAGGTCAGTGGTTTTATACAAATACTATCCTATGCGTTGTTTTTCTTTAAACGGTTACACTCTAATAGCTGCGACTTTCTTGGCTTGGCTCCTGTTACTGTATTTTCTTAGAGTGAACGCTAGTAAATTTCTCTGGCGCTACGTAAATATATCATCCGTACGTCCATACATAATTACAATGGATATTGTACTTAGATTCATTGCGTATATTGCATGATTAAAAGTGTTCTTAAGCAAACATTTGCTTAGTGGAGTAGCCTAATGAGGCCTTGTAAAGGTTAAAAGTGCATTCATTACCACAATAGAAGTTCCCACATTATGCGGACAAATCGATGTGAATTTATAAATTTCTTATAAGTTTTATTAGCACAGTGATTAGGTGTTCACGCAACTGTAAAAGAGTTCTTTGTAAAAACAGACAATTACGTTACGCCCTATGCCTTGTAATAACTGCTAGTAATTCCTATTCACTAACATCATTCAGGACTTTAAAAATAATTTCAATTAAAATGAGACACAAAAAAGTTAAATACTATTATTTCTCAGGGATGCTGTTCAATATTTTAATGACAAATTAAATTATTAAATTAATAATAACAAGCACAGGAACATAGCAATGTTTGTAGTAAATGGTTGACATAAAAGCAATCGACGCAAAACACAACTGATTACTTTGAAACATTACCCATTTTTCTTCACGATTTCAGGCTATTAAAGAAAATAGAATTTAACTTAATTTATAATGTACTTAAAGAGTCAGCCGGTGATCGTATTTTTATATGTTAGGTTTACAATTTCTTTTTATAAAAATTGAAAAATTTTAATATCTTGGTACTAATTTCATAGTTATCTTTTAACGCAACGTTTCCATGTAAATTATATGATATTTTGTGCAAGACTGTAGTTAATTATTAAATAAAAATATTAACTTCATATTAAATAATATTGTGGTTTATGGAAAACGTAATCATTTCTCAAAGTTAAAAACATAGTCAATAGTTTCTAAATTCATAATCGTCTAGAATTCTAGAGGTTTATTTAAAAAAAAAAAACACTTAATTCTTTTCTAAGGTTGTGCTTTTCTGTCATTAGCATCTTTGTGGTCACCAACAGTGTGGCGGAAGTCCGCAAAAATTTTGTACAGAAACAAATTTACCTTGGTTTAAAGAGATGCCATTCAACAAGGTAACTTTCACTGTTATACAGCCAATCTATCATAAGTAACGAATGAACGAGCATTTTCTAAAGCCGAACGATCTTTTGTAGCGCGAGTTAACTTTGTCGCTAATTAGTTTTCGGTTAAGGTTTAGCAGACTGTACTATTGTCCAGTCGGCATCTAATAAACTCACTTTCTCTATAAATACCTTGTCAACTTTAAAGAATACAACATATAATAGTATTTCATATTTGAACTGAAGCATTCATTTCATACGACACCGGCTATATACATATGTATTTTTATTCAAAACTTACAGTTTTAAAAACGAATCGTTCATTTGTATTGTGTTTAGCTCCACCGAAACGTTTACGCTATACCGTTTTATTTTGCACGGAATTCAATCAATGTTTCTCACTGACCGAAAACGGTTTTCTTAAAGTCAATTACAAACGGGTAATGGAGCATTCCCATGAAGCTATATTACAAGCTATAAGAGTAGAATCATAAATTTGTCGACGGAGAGGCGCTATGCAGCAAGACTAACGGACCCGTGGCTTGTAACAGCAGGCTATGTCTATTTTTTGCACAAATTTGCCCTTTATGTCCAACCCAATAAGATCCTGTTAAACTTGCAATAGAACAGTTTCTCACGACAGCACAATTGTATTTCAGTTATTAATATCCTCGTCTCCTAATTTCACACTGATTTTACTTTAAGAAATTATCGCACTGCTACATTTGTTATAACAATTGACAGTCATGTTACGTAAAAACATATTTTCTAGTACAATATAAGAAACTTCGATTCTTCTATCTTCGAAATTGTAAAAAATAATGGTTTAATATGAATCGTTAACATTCTCATCCACTTATTTAGAGAAAGATATTATTTTCTCACCATTGATCAAACTAAAACGATTTTATTAAAAAAAATACCGTTTAAACTATTCGTAGCAATTTTCTCGTTTTGTTAAACAAAGACCGTAATGATATGAGAAAATAAACACACTCAAAGATAAATATATATAGATCTTGTAGATACGCATAAAAGCCGGAACAAAAGTGTTCAATTCGATATTAGAAAACGATATTAATCTAAAAAATTTATGGATTCACCTTGTTAATTCTAATTAAGACGAAAAGATTTCGTTTCGAAATAGATATCTCTAAGTACGATTTGATATTAATCGTGTCTAATTAATCAGTACGCATTATGGTTAGAAAGTGGATAGTTGAATTCGCTCGATGCTCCGAGGAGAAAGGGGCAGTACCATAGGAACGTCACTGAAATATATAGGGTAGGGTAAAACAATTGCCTCGCAGGCGAAAGTGTTTCACGACCTAAAGAGTGACGTGACCGGTGTGAAGTTTCCAGTCCGGCTATTTGTTTAATTCGGTTATCTTTTTGAATACTATAGTATTGATTGAAACATATCGCAAATGCAATTTTTCTATTAGATAGTTTATTAGCAGAAAGTAAGTAATGTTTTAATTTTTGAATTATAAGGGTATCAAACTCTTTGGACTTTAAGATACATGTTAAACAGATTTCAACTTAAAAAGAAATCATCGACTGAAATCTATTCTATTCTATATAGTTACGGTTATACCTGAAGTACAAATGAATGTATGTCCGTTACCTCAAAAGGTAGTGGTGGTGTGTGGTTATTGATATATGAATTTCTCAGCATTTTACTGGTGCACTCTTGTTAAGTGAATTAAATTTAATTCAGCCACACGAAACGCAAATTTCACATGATCATATCAAGTGTGACACATTCCATGAATATTTTACATAGATGTCAAAGAGATCTAGAAAGTACCGACTAAGCAAACAGGGAAATGAATTTGAATGAATTTCCATCATTTAAAGATCACAATTGTATTTCTTATAACTAATAATCATGTAATGTATAAATAGAGACACGTTTTAGTAGATATTATAATATACTAAGAAAAATAAAACTATAAAATCGGTTATGTAACTACTCAATGCGTACCAAATGAAATCTATGAAAAATCGTAGACCGTTCTCTCTTTTCGTTACTTTTCATTGTGAAATAATAAGTTACGTAATTGTGAAATTGAATTACCAATAGTAAAAAAATAATAATAAAAAGAAAGAACGTAAACAAACGCTTATCATTATCTTGATAAAGAAGTTTTTCATAAAGATGATCTTCAGTTTCCGATATTATATACAAAATTTAAATTTATGATTAAATTGACGTTTATGTTCGTTAAAAATTATTAGGTTTAATTAGTTTCAGTAAACTAAGTTTACGGTATTGCCCGTTACCGTGTAAAGCGTTTCAAAGAAGTTATTGACCTAAATACCTTGGTGACATTTTTTGCATTCGTCTGTGGTGATTAAAATGACCACCGGTTGTTTTTTAAGAGCATAAGATGAATACAGTAAATTTATAATTATTTATTTAAAATAATCACACTGTTTCTAGGTTTGGAGAAAATCGAGTCAGAACTTACACGTTTTCTCTGTACTTTCCGTAGTATTTATAACTATCACTTTGCTATTACGAGCAAGAACAGAGAGGTAAGTAGCTGTATCTTAAATATACACAATTATGGATTTGCCTGAAAATTCCTAAATATCGTACTTTTGTAAGTTGCTAATAATAAATCATTATATAGTAGTTCCTTAGATAAAAAAAACTGGATGTTTAAAAACAGCGCCATTGATTTATTAGTGACTTTTGCATCAACTTGTTATACCTAATTAAACTTGATAAGCGTTATATGAATAAAGTTATGAACATAGATGTCAATAGGGAGGTAGGAAGAGGCAGACCGAAGAAAAGATAGATAGGCTATGTGAAACAAAATACGTATAAGGAAGGGGTGAGTGCTAAGATGATGTGTGATCGGGAACTATAATATGAAGACATTTTGCGTTAAGCTCAAGTGAAATTGGGAATGGGGCGGAATAATGATGACATACATAAGTGATATATTAGTTAGATTTATTAGGGAAGTTTATCTCCTATAGTTGGATATAATTCATACAAATAACTGACTCTTGCGGAATTTCGTGATTGCAAAATAGTCGTGTCAATCAAAAAGAAAAATATCAAATGAATTTAAGCTATGTATAGGTCAGATATTCATTTTTCAGTTTCAGATGCTGTTTCAACTCAAATTCGTTGTACATACACAAGTTAGAATATAATTTTACAGTCCTTTTTTTAGCAATCATAGACAAAGAAGAAGCAACAAACTTGGTATGATTATATTTATGAAATAAATTGTTTTTAAAATTAAAAACATAACACAGTATGCACCTTAGAAATTCACTAACGAAACCAAGATGGGCAAGAGCAATCAGATGATTACATGCATAAGCAGATAAGCAGAAATGAGTTATGCGAGTTGATGAAAACAAACAACGACTATAAGATAGAATATTCATAACAAATAAACGGAATGTCAAATGTTACAGTGAAAGGCACATAAGTACAATTAAGGTATGAAGCACTGATCGTTTGCCTCCTTTTAAGTAGGTAGGGTAGATAGGAAGTATCTGTAAAAAGTCTTGTTAACGTTCATGAATAAAGTATTTTTGATTAGTCGACTTGATAGGTATAGCTGATTCTGAAATATACTCAATTTCACTCTAGTAGCATAATCATTGGTATCAACAGTTATGAAACAGTGTAGGATATTTGAATAACGAGAATTACTAGACTAACAAGAATTCTATGTTGTATTCATGTTTAACTAAGAATAACCACGATGACTGAATATAAGTTCAATTTAAAGACTATTCATTTGCTCACTATTCAGATGTCAATTTGTGATAAATAATCATCCGTCAGTCAAATAATTTTAATCGTTAAATTATGTATCTTACTGGTGTACAAACAACTATGCATTTCAGTTTTTCATTGTAAGTCACATGTCATGTTAAATTTATTGCATACATTTTCATTTCCG